AATGGATTTTTTATAACCCATCACACTTCATGTGGACCACCTTGTAGAGTTTTGATGCAAACTTGTAGAGTTTTGTATGAATCTTTCCTGTTCGAAATATCTCAGACTTTTTGAAGGTATCTCCTGAAAAGCACTCGAATATCTCTCTTTGAGCTATTTATCTTAGCCAATAATGAAAATCTCTTTGTGGAGCCTAAGACAACCGAATAATCACAAAGCTGACTAGTTTTTTGCACAACGTCACTTAAATTCCAGCATGTATTTGAGTACATACTGTAATTCAGAATTCAATTGTGCAGAAATTGCAAGCTTTCTGAGAATTTTATTGCTCATGTCAGATTTTTTTGGCACTTTACTACTGTTTTAAATGTATGTTTACAAATGATCTACTTCTGGGAGCTCCTTACTTGCTAAAGCTTCTTTGAAAATGGTTAATTCCATTTGCAAAACACACAATCCTATTATGATACCTTTCAACTGAACTATATTAAAAAACGACATTGGAACCAATGTACTGCTTCTTTTAATCTTTCGAGATTTCTGCTGTCAACTGGGAAGCGATTTGCTGCAAAACAGAGTTTCAAATGCCTGTTTTGTGTTGGGATTATGAAGAATGATAACAGAAAAGAATTGTCATGTTCCCTTTAAATGGCACAAAATTAGTGCCCATAAGTATTGACGAAGAACAAGATGCTGTTTGTCTTCCTTATTCTGCTCTTCTTGCCATATATTGAAGCTGGTCCACCGAAACCCATCAACCGATCTCTGATCAACTTCAACGGTGTATGCAAATGTGAACTCGGCTATAGCGCCATTGTAAGTGCTCTTAGTAAAATTTAGTCTTATACAAAAATGATTAGTTCTGAATATATGAGCGCATACAACCTGGCTCGTGATCATGCAAGCTCATTTGCAGGTCTACAATCATTATGGATGTTGGTGTGGTAAAGGAGGCTCTGGCACGCCTGTAGACGGCATAGACCAGTATGTTCCAAAGATCCCAAATTCTCAATTAAATTCCTATTCTTTTTTTTTTCCAAAATCTTCACAGATGCTGCAAAACTCACGATTACTGTTATCGTGCAGCGAGAATCAGCAAGAAATGCAGCAGCATAGCTTTGTACACTGATATGTATAAGTGGAAATGCAGAAATAAAAAAGCTATTTGTCAAGGTGAGTAAAACCTTAATTGCTGCGACAAAACCTCAGAAGATACAAAAAGGTTAAGAAAACATTACAAAATTTTGAGAGATTCTTACTTAATGACATTTACGCTCATTCCTTTCGAAAAATACTGGTAACATTACTTCAGGTAAAACAGAATGTGAAAAGGCTCTCTGCGCATGCGACACCGCTGCTGTTCGCTGCTGGGCTCTTTATGGAAAGCCAAAGACGAAGAAAGCCTGTCGTAGAAAGATTGCACCATTGTTTTTAGTGCAGGAATAATGTGGCCTAACTAGAACAAATTTTTTGGAATTTATATTCAAGATTCTCTATTTTACTTCGATCAGTGCTAAAGAGTATTTTGTGGATTAAACAAATAATCTCTTTGCGTTTAGCATCTTGTTTTCAACAGGCCTATCAAGTATGTAATCAATAAATGAAGCATCAAAAGAAAGTTGTAGTTTTATTATCATTATTACTATTATCATCATACATAGAAGGAAAAAAATCAATATTAGACCTTTGTTGGAAATTCGCAGCTACTGATGTTAGATTGTACGAACAACATGTGAAACGATTTAGCTAAATGTGCCTGTACTCAAGTTAATTAAAAACAGCAAACACTCCCAAGATATTTGTTCCAAGATAGAATTAAATCCGAGAAAGGTCAAATATTCACAAAAAGAGGCACGACTTATATCTTATACCTAGTTTATTACTCTGTCAAGCAATTATAAGAACAGCAAGAACAATTCTTCAAATTCGCCGACATTTCCAGACGAATTGCACAACTAAAACGCGTTTTCACGTTTTATATTATACTAATTTATCTATATCTATTATCTATTTACTATTCTATATCTATTCTCTTATTATCATTCATCTACTATATTAACGTCTTACACTGTCCTAGGATGTCATTTAGGTGGTTAAGTACGTGCCAATTTTTCTTAAAACTCCAAAAAAGGAAAAGAGGTTTTTGAAAGAATTATGAAACAATCAAAAGGAGAATTTTTTCTTTTCTAGCATAATCTACTTAGCTCAACCTCTGACTTCAATGCTGAATAAAAC